AGGTTTCGAGACCTTGACCAGAGTGTGTGTGTGTGTGTGTGTGTGTGTGTGTGTGTGTGTGTGTGTATTAGAATGAACCAAACCCTCTACTTCTAGACTAGCGGATCTCAACCTGTGGGTCTCGACCCCTTTGAGGGTCAAACAACTCTTTCACAGGTCGCCTAAGACATCCTGCATATCAGATATTTACATTACTACTCATAACAGTAGCAAAATTAGAGTTATGAAGTAGCAACGAAAATAATTTTATGGTTGGTGGTCACCACAACATGAGGAACTGTATTAAAGGGTCGCGGCATTAGGAAGGTTGAGAACCACTGTTCTAGACCTTCATGATTCTAAGGCTAATACCAAAAGTTGGCTTTGGGTCCAACTGACAAGTGCTTCCCTGACTAAACACTCGCTGAGCTGCCTGTACTGGCTCCCAGGACATTGCTTCAGGGAGGCTTCAGCAGAATAAAATGCAGTCATTCAGGGAAAAGGAATGAATTTCTTTCTCTACTTACAACACTTTTGACAGCAAATGCGTGTGTTTTCCTTGCCAAGCAATTCTCAGTTCTCTGCAACACCAGCTGAATGCCCTACAATTCAATTCTAACACTACCTACCTGGAGTTAGCCCTACTCTACAGGTCAGGGGCTTAATCCTCTGCTTCAAAAGCCAATTGCCCATCCCAAGTTGTCACCTGCTCTTCTAACCAACCAGTTATATATTTGAGGTTCTCATGATCCTCTCCTCAAGTTTGATAATTTGCTAAAACAGCAGGGAAGTGCTTTACTTACTCTTACTAGTTTATACAAAGGATACAACTCAAGAAAAGTCAAATGGAAAAGCTGTATAGGGCAAAGTATGTTGGAAGGCCTTCAGAGTTTTCATGCCCACTCAGAGCATTGAACTTTCCAGTACCCCAATGTGTTCATCAACCGAGAAACTCTCCAAAACCTACCATTTAGCGTATTTATGGAAGCATCATTGGTCTTTGGTGATTATGTCAATCTCCAATCTCTCCAGTGAAAGTAGGTGTAAGGGAGTGCTGACAGCTCCGACCCTCTAATCACTCTAATCACATGGCTAGCTCCTCTGGTAACCATCCCTCATCCTCCAAGAGTCACCTCATTAACATAACCTCAGGTATAGTTGAAATGGACCTTTTATGAATAACAAAAATGCTCCTTTATCCCTATTTCTGAGGAAATTCCAAGGGATTTAGGAGTTCTATGGCAGGAACCAGAATTTAAGACAAATAAATATTGTTTATTTTATCACAACATCATGCAGGGTTCTCTGCAGTCTTGTGGACAGGGGCAACTCCTTTCTCCCAGCAGAAGCTATGACATTCTACGTACAACATTTTCCTACCGGCTGGGGTCTTTCTTCTTCAGATGCCTCCCAGACATTGCTTGGGACCACTTTCCTCATCTTGGCCAGAACTACAGTCATGACCAACACCTCCTCAGAGGCTCAACCTAAACTCTCATCAGGGTTACTCCAGGTGTTGACTCACCCAGAATGGTCAGATCCATCTGAATGCCTTTCTTGGGGGCTCCGCTGGACACTCAGAGCCACTGGTACCAAGAGTCAGGAAGTAGATGCAGTCTGCTCAGATGTAAGCACAAGGAGGTGAATCATCTGTAAAGAATTTGAAAGTAGCAATAAAACTAACTAAAAGTCTATCTGATTCTTATCTCCTTGCACAACAATGCTAAGTGTTAGAGATACAATAACCTTCACACAAAAATCTTCTGTTGGTCTAAGTTCTAAACAATTACTATGGTTAGTGTTAAGTAACCTACATATGTAGGTTTCAAATTATCACTTTTTATAAATTTATATTTTATTGATTTTTTACAGAGAGGAAGGGAGATAGAGAGCTAGAAATGCCCATGAGAGAGAAACATCGACTAGCTGCCTCTTGCACACCCCCTACCGGGGATGTGCCCACAACCAATGTACATGCCCTTGACCGGAATCGAACCTGGGACCTTTCAGTCCGCAGACCGACGCTCTACCACTGAGCCAAACCAGCTTCGGCTCAAATGATCACTTTTTAAAACTAATCCACTAAAAATACTTCATTCTATATGGAAATTAATTTGCAGGATTATCAGTTACACAGTTAAATTGAGGCACAGACATAACTTTCCCAGTAAATTCAGAAAATTTTATGATCTTTCAAACTCACTTCAGGGGCATTTTCTAGCTCCAACCCCTATGAAAGAATATAGCCCTGTAGTAGTAAATTTAAAATAAACAATCTTAGCTATATGAGAATTTTCTAACATCTTTTTTCACTAAGGTGAAGTTTCAGATGAGGTCAATCAGATTTAAAAAATTGGCAAAATAAGCCTTGAAAACATAAAAGTAAAACAAAAAAGTTTAAAATTGTTTCTTGAACACACACACACACACACAAAAAAAAAAAAAATCTGGAGAAATATATTAACTATGTTAAATGCAAAAAAATTGACATAGAAAAAGAATCAAATTTTGAAGACTATCAGAAGAAACAAGAAAATATGATCTTATATTACCAAAGATGAACAAGTAAATCTAAAATAATAATCTATAATCCTGTACATTTTCACCAAGAGGACATTCCTTATGAAGCAATAGATCAAATAATGTCAGTGTCAGTGTTCATTTTCTCCAACTTTTGCAAAAGAGCTTCAGAAATGTTTGCCAATAGATATTTATGGTGAGTTTTCGATTGTGGAGATCTTTGAAAGCTGTAAGATTTAATCTGAAAGAAACAAGACAGGGTATTGTAGTTTCTAGAATTTATTGTGAAGTGGGATTATATAAATTTCTACCAAAAAAAAAAACATTTTTCCTAATTACTTATTTTCTGTTGCTTCAAACAAAATAAACTTTTTAAAATTAAAATTAACAAGAAGTGTTCTCTAGTCTCCTATTAGTAAAGTCAGTGACAAATCCTAAGAATGCTGTCTAGTGAACATGAGTATGTGGAGACACGTGTATCACTTTCCTAGTGCTTCTGTAACAAAGTGCCACAACTGGGCACCTTAACACAAATGAAATGGTTTGGCTCCAATGTGTCAGCTGGATCATACATTCTTTGAAGAATATAGAGAAAAATCTGTTCCATGCCCTTGTCTTAAGTTCTTATTTTCCAGAAATCCTTTAGGGTCTTTGGCTTGCTACTGCCTGCTGCAGATCTCTGCCTTCCTGGTCACATGGGGTCTCCCAGTGTGTGTGTGTGTGTGTGTGTGTGTGTGTGTGTGTGTGTGTCTTCATGAGGTTATCTTTACTCGATGTGTCCCTCTCTTGCCTCTTCACCCTGTTCTTTTTATAAGGACACCAGTCACTTGGATTAGATGCCCACCCCACTCCAATACAACCTCATCCTAACGAATTGCAACTGTAATGACCCTCCTTCCCAATGAAGCCATATTCTGAATACTGGGGAAGCGGTGGAGGAGGTTAGGGGACATAAGGACCTAACATATCCTTTGCCCTATATGGAGGGAACCACAATTCAACTCCTAACAAACAACAATATTTTTCATGTTCATTGTAAACTTGTAAGGCTCCAAAGCAGACACTATAATGTTATTGTATGTTACTTTAATACATAAAGGTATATGGTTTCTCCCATTAAAAGAAATGCACTGATGTGCTGAAACCGGTTTGGCTCAGTGGTAGAGTGTCAGCCTGCGGACTGAAAGGTCCCAGGTTCGATTCTGGTCAAGGGCATGTACCTTGGTTGCAGGCACATCCCCGGTCCGGTAGGGGGTGTGCAAGAGGCAGCTGGTCGATGTTTCTCTCTCAAGGAGGTTTCTAGCTCTCTCTCTCTCTCCCTTCCTCTCTGTAGAAAAATCAATAAAATATGTTAAAAGAAAGAAAGAAAGAAATGCACTGATGTAATTCAAAAGCATAAATCCATTATTTTTCCTTTGAATGCTTTTGAACAAAAGCACTGATTATATGTACCTACCTCAACAAAACAAAGTTTCCACTGTGATTCTTAACTGAACATCATTGCTAACTCCTTTCATTTCATCATGACTGCTGAAAACAATTGTGTCCAAATGACACCCTCCCGCCCTGACCAGTTTGGCTCAGTGGATAGAGCCTTGGCCTGTGCACTGAAAGGTCCTGTGGACTGAAAGGTCCCGGGTTCCATTCCGATCAAGGGCACATCCCCAGTAGGGGGTGTGCAGGAGGAAACTGATCAATGTTACTCTCTCATCGATGTTTCCAAGTCTCTGTCCGTCTCTCTTCCTCTCTGTAGGAAATCAATAAAATATATATTTTTAAAAACAAACAAAAAAACATGTACCTTGTTTTCAGGTTCTCCCCACCCCCCGTCCCCCCCTTCTCCCCCCATACACACACCCACACCCCCCCACTCCCACCCCTTTCCCCTGGTTGGGGCTGTGCAGGAGGGAACCAATGGATGTGTCTCTCTCACATAGGTGTTTCTCACATAGATGTTCTTCTGTCTCTCCCTCTCCTTCCCACTCTCTCAAAATCAACGGAAAACTATCCTAGGGTGAGGATTAACAAAACAAACCAAAAAAAAGGATGCCCTCCCTGGGTCAGACGCGCCTGCTCTGCACGGTCCAGGGCGGGGCTGAGCCGCCGGAACCGGGTGCCTCAGATACTCACATTCCCAGCAGGCTCCGCGGGGGAGCGTCCGTCGCCCTAAGAGCCTCAAAAGGCCTCGGGCGGCTGCGCAAAAGATCCCGACGGCCAGCTCCTCCCTCACTAGGGGGCGCCTGGTTCACCCGCCGACGGGGAGCGCACGCGGTGCCTGGATGCCCGCCCAGCTCGCCAGCCGCCCTGGATGAGGTCAGCAGCCCTTCTCGCCCGCCCCCCTACCCTTCAGTTGCCAACCCGGCAAGGCCCTGGTGCGCACGCGCAGACACGTCCCCCACGCACTGGGCTACAGCGCATGCGTCCTCTCTACCCCGCCCCCTCACGCTGTTTCCGGTGCGTTCCCAGTTCCGGCTCCAGGGGTTTGGGGAGCTGCGGGGAACATGCGGTTGTCGGTGGCCGCCGCCATCTCCCACGGCCGCGTTTACCGCCGCCTGGGCCTCGGTCCCGAGTCCCGCATCCACCTGTTGCGGAACTTGCTTACGGGACTGGTGCGGCACGAACGCATCGAGGCGTCCTGGGCGCGCGTGGACGAGATGAGGGTTTTTGCGGAGAAGGTCAGAGGCGGGGCGGGTCCGGCCTGAGGGGGCGGGGGAAGGAGGGGCGCCTCCGCGGTAAGCTCTGCCCCCGAAGTCTGAGTCCTTCAGGACTGTTGGCGGAGCCCACTCTTCTGGCCCCTCAAAGGGCAGGCGGCTAGGGGGCTGCGGGGTTAGGAGAGCCCGGATGTAGAGAGAAGCTTGGCTAGTGGGATGAATGAATGAATGAATGGGCTGCAGGTCCAGCATTGGAGAAGTTAAGATTGCCGCCCCGTTTCTTGCTCGGGTGGGATCAGTGATGTTCTGCCCCTCACAGCTCATCGATTACGGAAAGCTGGGAGACACCAACGAAAGAGCCATGCGCATGGCTGACTTCTGGCTCACAGTAAGTGCCTCCGTTCTTTCACCCAAATCGCATTCTTATGTTTCCTGTGTTGGGGCGGGGGGGGGTTAGAGAAAGGGAGGGAGTGGGGGTGTGGAGGCTGGGCACAATTAAGCAAAAACACTCCCTTAAAGTAAAAAAAAAGTCCCCATTTTTGGAAAGAATCTTTCCAATGTTTCCAATCTTTCCAAAAATCCGGATTTTTTTTAAATGCCTCGGGACTTGGGAAAAGTTGTTAGAAATCGGGACTGTCCCGCCAACACCTGGACGATCTGGTCACCTTACCTTAAGGACAAATGTTGTCGACTAAATTGGAAACTCATGACTTGATAGATACAATTCGGTGAGAATCTTAATCTGCTCACCTGCCTGTAACTAACCCCTCTGCGCAACTTTGATTCAACCACATTGGGGTGAGCGTCTAGTGGGCTGGGGTCTGAGGGTGTGCGTTTGGAGATATATCCTACCTTTGGGAGTGCTGAAAGCTAAATGTCTCTGCAGTGGTGCCTGACTGCTCTCTTGTGGGTAACTCTTCCCCCTCTAGGAGAAGGACTTGATCCCAAAGCTGTTTCAAGTGCTGGCCCCTCGGTACCAGGGTCAGAATGGGGGCTACACGAGAATGCTGCAGATCCCAAATCGGAATAAGCAGGATCGGGCCAAGATGGCAGTGATCGAGTATAAAGGGAACTGCCTCCCGCCGCTGCCCCTGCCTCGCAGAGATAGCAACCTTACACTTCTAAACCAGCTGCTTCGTGGGCTGCAGCAGGACCGGGAAGCAAGCATCCACAGCTCCCACACACCTCCAACACCAGAGATTTAACTGGAGCCAAAGCGTGTGTAGCCTCATCGGTGCCCATGATCATAGGCCTTTGGATCTCTTCATCTCTAAGAACTGGAGCTAGAGTTGTGACGTGGACAATCTTAATGGAGCCCGGGCCTGTTGGGTAGCCATATAACCTTCTCTTTGCACAATAGGTAAAATTCTTTGTATGAATATATGTAAACTGATTTTTATTTTTTTTCTCTCTCACCTTGGGATTTCTGAGAACAAGAACTATCCAAATGCTCTATCTTCCTGGGATAGTAAATTCACAACATACGTTTCTGGCTCTTCAATACAGGTTTTACTGGTTTACAACAGTTTTGTTCTTCTTAATGCTGGTGTATATGGGCATCTATAATAACAAAAGTGTAGTATGCTAATTACACTTTGTTCCCTCCAGATGGAGCTGGGGCTACAAGGGAAGCCCGGGTCCCAGGTGCCAGAGGGGAGCCGATGCCAGCAGCTGGGGGAATGAAGGCCTGCTCTTGAATGAATTTCACGCATTGGGCCTCTGGTGTACCTGTAATTCCAAACTGGCCCCAAAAGGGATTGAGTTATGACATCTAGCATAAAGACTGAGCCCCTGGGACTTCTTAGAGAAAAATTACTTCCTAACAAGGGTAGGATGGAGAGTGCGGATCTAAAAGTGAACCTTCCATAAGAATCTAGTACCCTAAGAATCTTTAAGGAGCACTGTAACCGTCCTCTGTTTCTAGGCAAGATAACGTAATACCCTTATGTGCTCCTCAAGCCTTGAATGGGCTTCAAAGGAGAGGATCTCAGGACTCCGAAGTGCAAGCATTGAGAGAGGATACTGGATTCCTGCACAAGCTCTTTCCTCTTCGAGTGGAAGGGAGGTGGGAGGGAAGAGTAAAAGTGAAGGACTGAGTTGAAATGGGAGGAGGGTCAGGAAGTTAAACCTGTTGGGAATTTCCTGGAAATTTTTTATTGTCAAAGCTGGGCCTCTCTTGGAACTGAAAAAGGGGAAATCCGGCTTCACAATGGTCTGGGCATATGAGAAGTAGGAAGCTTCTTTATATATACTATTACTAATTAGTGTGAAACCAAACATGGCCCGGCCAGACTGTCCATCTCTCAAAGCTCAGAGGTTTGATTAGGGTGATAGTCATAGGAAGACTTGATTTTGTCATCCCATGCTAAATGCGTCAGAACAGGGCCCTACAATTTCCATAGCCCCCATATAGTGGATAGAAGAGATTTTTATCTTGGGCTGGACCTTCAGAGTGTATTGGGCCAACCAAACCCACCCATTGTCTCAGATGATAAGGGTGAAGGTAAAGAGGTCACTGGTCTAGCAGATAGAATCTTCAGTGCCTACTATTCTTGTGCTGTTTCACTGCAACTTCCCTAGTCAGATACTTACATACTCCTAGCAGGGTTCTCCACGTCACCCTCTGTTCCAATCTGCCTTTCACATTATCAGAAAGCTCTTTCTGATGTTATATTTTGAATGACATACTAGACACTCAAAGCATTTATTAAATAAATCTACAACTCTGAGTGCTTCTGCTCAAAAATTCATCCCCTTCCTGTCTTCTTGGCATGAGCATTCACCTCAGCTAGATAAGTTGGAGTCATCCCTGATTCCTAGAGAAAGCACTTAAACTATTAAAACCACATCTTTACATCTTATTGGTAATAGGTAGATTGTGGCTGACTCTCCTAGTTTTTCCTCTTAGCCCCAGAAATATATGCCCCTTTGGAGTTTTCAGCAGTTCCCTAAGTGCTTACTAAACATCTGCTAGTACCCATCGTCAAGTTAGGTGGTAGGGGTACAGTCTTTATCAAGTGTTTGCCATGTGTTGGGCCCTGGGATCCATACTAGGGATACAGAGATGAGAAGAAACAACATCCCCCTTCAACGAGCTCACAATCTAATGGACCACCACAGTGGCCTCAAGGGACAATTCATCTCCTTTAATATTTTGGCCAGATAAGAGTACATGAATCCTAGAATATTTACTGAGGCTCAGTAACAATATAAGGGAAATAACGCTGTTTTACTAATCTGGCCTGTAAATGATAACTTTTCATCCCAGTTGTTGAACTATGCCATCTAGACACCCTTAAAAAAAATTTCAGACCCCCAAGTCTGCAAATGTCTCATAAGATATATTGCAAATGTCTACTTTTCAGAGGTTCTCAGGCTCCACTCCCTCCAAAAATAATGAACTCTAGCCCAGCTGACATATCTTAGTAGTTGAGCATCAACCTATGAACCTGGAATTCATAGTTCGATTCCCAGTCAGGACATATGCCCAGTAGAGGGCATGCAGGAGGCAGCCAATCAATGATTCTCATCATTGATTTTTTTTTTTTTTTTTTTTTTTTTATGGGAAGTAGTTGCCTTCCGAAGGTGCCCCATTTTTTTTTTCTTCATATATTTTATTGATTTTTTTACAGAGAGGAAGGGAGAGAGATAGAGAGCTAGAAACGTCGATGAGAGATAAACATCGACCAGCTGCCTCTTGCACACCCCCTACCAGGGATGTGCCTGCAACCAAGGTACATGCCCTTCACTGGAATCAAACCCAGGACCTTTCAGTCCACAGACCGACGCTCTACCACTGAGCCAAACCGGTTTCGGCATCATTAATGTTTCTCTCCCTTTCCCTTACTCTGTAATCAATAAAAGTGTTTTAAGAAATCATAATAATGAATTCTAGCCTCAACAGATCAGTGACACAGTATCACCCCAATATCCAGAGGAGACAGCTATAAAAGCTAGTGACTGCTTCCTTGTACTCATATAGTCAAACACTAGTCATGTTGAGTTCATTTCCATATTTCTGAAATCTGCAGTCATTATCTCTAGTCTGAAATTTAAGACATCTTTCCTAGATTACTGCAACAGTCTCCTGACTTGCTTCCCTCTATACTACAGCCAGAGTGATAAGATTATAATATCTTAATTCTCTGCTTGATAGTATTCAGTGGCTCCTCCATTCATATAGGAAAAGAATCCAAATTCCTTACCATGACTTCCCTCAGTGATTATTCACTATTTCAGTTACTTCTACTGCTGTTAATCTTATACTCCAGAAGTATGGAAGTCCTTATTTTGACTCTTCTTTTTGCACAGCTCCTCTTATTACCTTGAGTTGATGCAGTCTCTACCAACTAGAAAACCCTCTGCCCCCTTTTATACCTAACTGTACACAACTTAGCATCTCCTCTGACCATGGACACACAAGTTCATTACTTAGTGAACCAAGGTGCATTACTATCCTATATAATGAAAGCCTAATATGCTAAATGTCCAGTCATCTGTTCAACCAATCAAAGCATAATATGCTAATGATATGCTAAGTCCACTCAACTGCTCTCTATGATGTGCTCTGGGGGGTAAGGGGAAGGCAGTTGACTGGTCAACCAGTTGCTATAATATGCACTGACCACCAGAGGGCAGACACTGAAAGGTTATCTTGCTGCTGGAGTCCAGCTGATAAGGACTGGGTCTGAGAAAGATGGACCCCATATGCCCTGGAGCCCTCCCTGCAGTTCCTGGCTGGCCAACCTCCTGCATCCTTCCTTAGCCCAGATTGTGCACTGGTAGGGTCACTCTGCCAGGCCTGCACCCTCTTGCAATCCAGGACCGCCTCAGGATGTTGGAGAGCCCATTTTGGCCCGATCATGCAGGCTGAGGGACCCCACTGGTGCACTAATTTGTGCACCAGACCTCTCAGTGTTTCTCTAATCCACTGAATTTACTTAACTGTATTACACTTAGCTGGGTTGATTCCCAAACATCCATCCCAGAACACTAAAGCAGTCGTATTTCTATCCCTTGCAATTGATGGTTCAGTGATGCACAGGCCTAAACTAATTTCTGCTGAACTTTTAGTGTTCTGTAAGGTTCTTATTCTTTACTGTGATCCACAGATCAAAGAGCATTTTACCTCAACACAATGGTCACATACATATACTGTATAATTAAGGAAAGGCATCACAAAATATGTGCCTTTACAAGTAGCATAGTAATATTTCTACTCTTTCCTAGTTCAGTTCTTAAAAATATTGGTCCCAGTTCACTAAATTGATTTTTACAGCTCACTAATGCATTACAGCCTTTCCTGAAAAATACTGATCTCAGCCAGCACTAATTATAGTGACTCATCGTTGCCCTTGCGGATAAAATCAAGACTTAATGACACAAAGGTCTGATAGTCAGAAAATATCAAGTAGTTTCCTATGAAGAGTGGAAGCAGTGGTAGGAGATGAGGCTCAGACCCAACCATAGAAGACCTTGTTCAAACCTCTACTCAGAAGTCGCCTTTTTGAGGCCTCCAACTTCCACTTCACCCTCCAAATGTGGAGAGGCTCCTGTGTGCAGTTATGGTCCTCGGGGCATACACCTACCAAAGCTTTCATCATACTGGATCACCAATGTCTGTCTACTCGACTGAGCTCCTGAAGCCAGAAACTGGGACTCATTCTTCTGGATGCCTGTTCCTTCCAGAAGACCTAATTCAAAATAGCTGCTCAACGGAAGCTTATTAAATGATGAAGAGAAAGCCACATGTTGTCCTGCACATACTGAGCTCTCAGGCCGAGCTTTTACAAAACAATAAACACGGTGCTGTGTGCAGGGACAGTGCTAAGCTACACTGCTGAGTAGTCCAAGGCTGAAGAAATGGGCTTCTTCCTCTCCAGGGACTTAAGTGCTGGTAATGACTGTCAAGGATGTAAGCAAGTAGCTAATGCATTTCCCACACCTTTCATATTCCTGTTTTCTGAAAACTTTCTCACAAACCCACAGGCAGAAAATACCTGTGCATTTTCCAAGATTTAGCCAAAAGCTAAAATGCTGTATCTCATGTGAAACAATCACTGAATTCCCCAAGCAAAGCTAGGCATTTCTCCAGTGGCCCAATTTCATACTGTCCTTTCTTTTGACAAAGGCACACATACATTGTTTGGCAACCTTCACTAAGATACTGAACTTCTTGAGGTTAGGCGACATACCCAGTTCACTC